TTTTGGAGTCACTTTAGAATTAATTTATATTCTAATTTCACTTGTGCGGGTCTTGTTGTGTTTGTTCTGCAACCTTTTCCTAACACCATGGCTACCAGTGAGTACCTCATGTAAATAATTAGTTGGACTGCGGTGGTTATCATAAGTTGTAGACTTAACTGGTGTTAAAATGTTTGAAACAGGGCTGCAGAACGAGAATAATTGTGAGGTTGGGGTTTTCTCCAAGCTCACCAATGCCTATTGCCTTGTTGCAATTGGGGGTTCTGAGAACTTTTACATGTATCATTTTTATCTCTTCTTTTGTGAATGTCGTGTGTCTGTTCTCCGTTGTTTGAGAGTTGATGTTTTGTTTGGTGGAAGCACATTTGAAGCTGAGCTGGCTCATGTAATTCCGGTGGTTAAAACCTCAATTGCTGGAACTAGAATCATTGGACGCCTCTGTGCTGGTGAGTGTTCTTGTATTTTGTTTCTTTTGATGGCTATAATTTAGGTAGTGGTGTTTGAATTTCTTGGCTGATGAGCTTTCCCCTGTAAATATTCCATTGGCAGGAAATAAAAATGGGTTGCTTGCGCCTCAAAAAACTACTGATCAAGGTGAGTGCAAACCATATGTTCCCTAGTATATGTATGTTGATTTATATGGCTGATAAGTGCTTGTGAAGTTGGCTCTGCTAAATGTTTGTGTACATATCTCAAATTTATGTTCTATGTGTGATATGTATCAGTTTTATATTGCTACACTTAAATGCTGGTCCGGTTAGGCCGATGCATGCTTTTGAATCCATATGATCAGATGAGGGTTTTGGAGTTCAAGATGGAAATTAGACCCAGTCAAGATTATGCACTATGGTTATTGATTTGGAATATGAACTGTAGAAGAAAGTTGTAATATGGTTATTGATTGCTGAAATTTTTGAGTGCTTTGGGTTATTCAACTGCAACTATGTATTTGTATTAGTGTTAGAGGCTCACAATTGAGAAAGGGCGACCACCCCTACCCGCCCAACAAGCTCATCTTCGTGCCCGACAAGGAGTGCCAGCGCCCCAATTTGCAGGGGCCGAGATCGAGCAGCTGCAATAGTCATATTCGCAGCCTGATTGGGTGAAGATTGCTTTCTCGAACAAGCCTCAGATTCTGAGGGTATGAGTTTGATGATTGTGTTCCGATGAATTTTGTGGTCTATAATCAGCTTGACCTTATTTTTCGCACGAGATTTGATTTGACAAGATACTTTGCATTTTGTTGGGTGGGTTTGTTAAGCGTTTGTACTTTGTGCGGATGGATTAGTTTATGAAACAAGGGAATTGCTCAGTTATGCTATTTATTGTTTTGCAGTGATATAATCGTTGTCCTGGTTTTATTTGCTAGTTGCCCAATATATGTTTTCTTGTAGCCTCATGTGGATAGAAAGTTCCAATTTGTTCACATAGCTGGGTTTGTTTGTCGGAAATATATAACAAGAAGAAGTTCACTGCTCATAGTATGGTAAGCTTTATTACTTTGTGCGGATGGATTAGTTTATGAAAGAAGGGTTTGCTTAGTTATGCTATTTATTGTTTTGCAGTCGCATAATCTCTATGCTGGTTTTATTTGCTAGTTGCCCAATTTATGTTTGTTGTAGCCTCAAGTTTCTGTAATCTGATGTATGTGTGTATATATGTTGGATGTCTATGTGCTAAACTAGCTATCAGTATAAGTAGTTTCTCCTATTGACAAATTTCAGCATAGCAACATGATTGGATCTTTTCCAACTTTGGATTACTTATCTCGATTTGAAGGTTAGCGTTTCATATTCCGTGGTGCTTCTTATAATAATCCATTTTATTTGAGTTGGGTATCATTTTCGTGGATTATATCCCCAATTTTTCGGGGAACTTCCGAGTGTATGAATGTCCTTTGCTGCAAGAAATGGGATTGTTGGAGGTGAAGCATGGCCTGCTCCAAACTGCAGAGACATTGGACTTCCTTCATAATAATGCCCGCCTCATCCATAGAGCATTATCGCCTGAGGTAATGAAAGATAGCAAAACAAAAGTTAACCCCTGTGAAGTCATAGTTTTGACATTAAGAAATCTTTGGGTGTTGTTGTAAATACTCATTGGTGTCTTATTTCTTGGTGCAGTTTTTGGCGTTGGCTCATGTTGATATTGATGATGGGAAGGTCGTGTTTGTCCCGTGGGTCAAAACAGATTTCATAACTGGTGACAACCCATGGTGGTCGTAAAACTCTTCAATTTTCATCTGATAGCATCGACTTTATCTATCATGAAAAATCTGTTGTTAGACAATTTCAAAATATAGTTCTGCTGTTAACACACTTTTATCTACTATTGTTATTTATGTATATCAAAATCAACTTTTATATTTGAAAAATGAAACTTTGTTTTTTCCTTTTCAATTTTGGATTTGATGAGATTCAGAAATCAAAATTGTCAGTACTCCTTTTGAGTTCGCTATGTTGGGGATTGTTCGAACTTTGACTCGTTCGAGGGCTCAATTTGGATCATATTGTGGAAGCAATGAATGATAGTTAGAAGAACACTGTATATTGTCAACTGTTATTGAATGCCAATTGCCATCAAATGTAATCTGACTTGCATAACTACCTTTCAATTTCATTAAGAAAAACAATGTCATGAACATTATGTAGAAAGTCTTAATAGAACTCCCTGAACAAATAAATTTCATTTCTGCTTGTCCATTTTTATATACATTCTCATTCGAAAATTTGCTATACATAATTTGAGCTTTTTCACACGACATTGGTAAAAAAAGATACAAAAGTATTTTACTGACAAAATAATGTAAAAACAAATTTGGAATTTAAGTAATCAATGTTTTATATAATTAAACAAATAAATTTTGAACCACAAACAATTGCTGGAATCACATAGATTGTTTATATGATTCAAAACCGTTTTTGGGATGCTTCTACCGTTTCGGGGATCCCATAAATTATTTTGGGGATCCAAAAACCATTTCTGAAATATTTTCAATTTTTGAGATCCCAGAAATCGTTTCTGGAACCAAAAAAATTCCAGAATTCATTTCCAGTTCCAGAGACGATATCCAGAAATCATTTCTGGGACCTGAAACGATTTCTGAGATCCCATAAATTGTTTTTGGCCATTTCTAGAACCAGAAATCATTTACGGGATCTGGGTATCTGGAACCAGAAATCGTTTTTGGGAAAACCATTTCTGGGATCCTTGAAATGATTTCTTGAACCATAAATCGTTTCTGGAACCCAGAAATCGGTTTCTGAGAACATTTATTTTTTAAAATTAGATAATAAAGGTATTTTTGTATTTTTATGTGCCAAAATGGCTAAAAACCATGTTTTTTGCCAAACATGACTAAAATTTGTGTATGCCATTTCGAAATGGCTAAGAAAAAAATCACTGAAAAATAAACCTCAATTAGACACAGAAATGCCAAAATGAAGGAAACCAAAACATATTATTGATTGTTTTGCTAGCAATTATATATACGTATAAATATATATATATATATATATATATATATATATATATATATATATTAAGAGAATGATTATTGCATCTCACGTCATTTCATCATACCAATTATATCATTAGGGTGAGTTTGGTTGGCAGGGGGTTATTAGGCTTGATATAATCACTTTGATATTATCAAAGACTATGATAGGTCGAAAATTGTGCACGTATTATATATTTAATAGTGTATTCTTATACACTTAATTTATTTGCACGTTTATATTGTTCGATTTATTTATTATTTGGATGGATTCATGTACTTTGATATTTTATTATCTATTTTCAGTAATTTGAAGAATATTCGGAGACGTCATTGGATAAGGGTAATGGGCTCGAGAAGAAATTTGGGCCCAAAATAAAGTGCAATTATTTGGGCCCAAAATAAATCAAACACGCAGCCACGTAATGCAATGGTGGGGGAGAGATTATTGGAGTGTTTCTATTTTGTTGGAGACTTAAAGCAAATTATTTGATTGGAAAGTTTGTGATTGGTTGGGGAGGAATTATTATTAAATGGAAAAGGGAAAAGGCACTCAAAATTTTGGCTAGGACTTATTTTGGCTGGCCGTGTGTTTCACAAGAGAGGAGTGAATTAATTGGTTGGGACTCTTTGGGAATTGATTGGAAGGAAAATAAGCGGGGATAGGAAAAAAAGAAAACAGAGGACGCAGGCTGAGATCCACGCAAGGAAAAGGAAAAAGAGGCTACACACGCGGAGGGAAGCCGCACCGTACACGAGGGAGATATTTTATTCTCTCTTTTATCCTTTATTTATTTTTATTAGTATGTTAGGCTAGTATTTTTATCCAGTTTTAGGGGATGTTTGAACCCTAACTTTAATTTGTCTATGAATTGAAGGATTTATTTTTATCGTTAGTTAATTAAGACGCCGTATTTATTTTTGTTGATGAGTTGATTCATGCTATCTGTGTCGAAAGTTTATGAATTATGAGTTTTTGATTTAGTTTGGCCAGCTAGGTTGAATATTCATAGTTTAATTGCTAGATTCGAGACTTTAATCCGTAATTGTTATTGTCTCGTTTCGTTAGTAGTAAACTAGGGGTCGTGCATCTCTAGGGTAGCGTGAACATAAGTTAAATGGTCCGAACTTTTGCGCCCGTTGCTTAGACTGATCTATTTTTCTAGAGATTAATGCTGCTAGTGAATTAAATCTAGAGAGCTTATTCTAGGTTGTCCACTAGTTAGGTTTAGTCGAAGAGCTTATTTCGATTAAATATTCGGTAAGGGAAAATTCGGTTAACAGAGCTTGTTGTTAGCTAGGGTCGGTAATTCATTAGCAATTTAAAGAAAGCGTCGAAATTAATTAACGGTAGATTTAGATTGGGTGATAACTGAACCGAAAACTGGACTTCTCTTATTTTATTAGATTTTTATTTTATTTTCTTATTTTTATTTTTATTTTTATAAAACCAATCCCCCCACCTTTTATTGCTTTCCTAGTTTAATTCAATTAATACGAGATTGTCACAATTTAATTCCTGCTCCTCGTGGGATCGACCCTTACTCGCTGCTACTACTAGTTAGTAGAGGTTAGTCGAGGAAACTTTATAAATTTAAATTTGCCGCGTCGCGACGCGCGGTCAAATTTTGGCGCCGTTGCCGGGGAGTGGCGCAATTGAGTTGTGATATTTTTAGTGTTAATTGAATTAGGTAGTTAGATTAGTTTTTATTTTATTTTTCTTTGACTCTTTTAATCCCCCTATTTTTCTTTTTTTTCTTTTGGTTTCTTTTGCAGGTGGTACTTGTTATAAATGGATGCGTATTGGAGCCCGGAATGTGCTTACGCTTACGATTCATATTATGAAATGAAAAAGAGGGAAATAACAGACCAACATCGTGAGGCTAGGATGTCGGCTATGATCCAAGAAGCCATTGAGAGTGTTCGTCAAGTTCTAAGGAAACCATGTCGTCTATGTCATACCGCACGTCACGTCACCGACGATTGTCCACTTTTGATTGAGAGGTATGGTGCACGCAGAGCTATCGAGAGAGATTGGTATCGACAAGACGATTGGGCGTATTCAAATTTCGATAGAGACCATTACGGTTGGGGAGATCGTGGAAATTCATTCTATGCAAAACCACAATACTCCCGATCGTATGAGTCTACTTATGAACATGACGAATCCCAATTCCACTATGGAGGCTTACAATATTTTTCAGAACCTTCGCTTGAACAAGAGACTAGTCCATCGTTGATGAAGTTACTTGAAGAGTGTCAAAATTCTTTGATGGCTAGTAGCAAAACGATTGGTGATCTATTGAGCGAATTGGATGCCCGAGCCAAGAGTCGACTAGCCGAAGCCAGCCACGATGATGACGGAGAGCTTAGGATGAGCAGCAACACGGAGCTTGAGGTGCTGGACGAAGTTAGCTTTGAGCTGATAAACGATCGAAGCGACGAAGAGAATGAAGAAGAAGGCGATGAGGAGCAAATTTTCGCTGTTACCGGCCCCCCCGATAAAAACCTGGTAGCATTTACTACTGCTATCGGGGCCCCCGATAACAGTTTACTCGAAGGTGAAAATGACGTAAAAGCTTCGCCGATTGCCCTGAGCATGACTGAAAA